TATATATATATATATAAAGATAAATGCTCTTCATTACTGTGAACGCATAAAAAAATGAGATTTTAAAACGAGAAAAGAACGGAACAAAAAGACTTGAAATGGCATCGTGCTTTCACTGAACATTAAGCACCACGTAATGCTAAGAGTTTCTTAAAGCACAGACAAAAATATTCCATTGTCAAAAAACATCATTTGATATCCGATTCAAGAAAATAGTATGTACTGGAATCAAAAATCGAATAAAAATATTGACAAGTTTCGCACGACAAAAATTATTCCACTGAGCAATCAAAACTAATAGAAAATTCAACAATTAAAACGACATACAGCAAAAGCACAAGTAAGCAGAAGTCAGTCATTGAGAACAAATTACAACTCCGATACAGTTCTCAAGAGGGCTTGATTCCTCATATGAAACAGATCACAGATTGCTTGAATCAATTTCGAATAAAAACCATTAGCACGTTAGAAAGTATCGAATCCTTATTTTTCAGGGTTTTTACTTGATAATCATCTCGACATTTATATCGAGGGAATAGAAAACTGTCAAAAGTGATTCCAGTACAAGAAGAGTGCATTCCGTTTCAACTACTCACCCAAACAATAGCAACGAAGTGCTTTAAAATAAGATGGGAAATCTATAATTTTCATCACCAAATTATCATTCTAAGTTTAATTACCGATGCAAATGGCAAAAACGAGATGAGGTGGATAGAGGAGACTAGTGTGAATTTGATGTCGGAGGTGGTGTTGAAAAGCTTTTTGGTGGTGGTGGAGTGGTGTTGCCTACAGCCACCATATTCCGGGTAACGTCTGATGGGGGTGCCGAATGAGTACCATCAACATTCAGTTTGTATTCACCTTAAATGTTTGTATTCAATTATGCTTCTATTCACATTTAATCAAAACAAAGATCGTTTGATGAAAAAGATTACTCTTATTTATCAACACTTATACGCTATTACAACTCCACTTAATGTGAAATCACCTCCACTAACCGGTCAACTTGTTTTGTAAAGTTTGGATTGGTGTTGACACGTGTTCAAAATTAGATTCAGCGGAAAACATACAATCGGCAATTACTTTCGACAGCTGGCTAAAAAGTTTTTTTTTTGGGGGGGGGGGGGGGGGGGGGGGGGGNGGGGAGGGGAGGAAGGGGAGGAGAGGGAATGAAGGTTGCCGTGGAACCCAAAAATTTCGATTGTGAATCGCCAGATAACGAAATTTCTGGTGATTTGTTTCGTGGCTGTGCTGTGTGCCGTTGCCAACACTAGCTTCAATCTATACATAAACGACAAACTGTTCAACGGATGACAGTGAGTGGAAGTGTACGTCAAACGGTCATTGTAAAATTGACAAGTTTCGCGTGAAATAACGCTGAACAATGAGAAGAGATGAAAAGGCCTAACACTAACCATTGGCAATAATCTGCAGCATGGTTGGTTGCGGACAACATGTGAAGGAGTGTAAACCAGCACAATTGCAACACGACACCAAACCATTCGGATTTGGAGGTAACTGCATCAGTGGTGGATAGGCCACACCAGCCGCAGTGATCAGAGGCATTGGGCGTGTGCTGACTGGTGTTGGCACGAGGGGAACGATTCCTCGTGGAGGTGGTGGAACGCTCACCACGTTCAGAGGAGCATTCGAACAACCCAGAATGTTTACTGGAGGGCAAACCGTTGTCACAGGTACGGGTACAGATACTAAGGTCACCGGGGCTGACCCAGCAGGTGTAGGCGGATGCTGCTGCGGTACGCAAACCTGAGGCGTATCACCGCTGCTGCTGGTTGCGGATGATGACGACACTGAACTTTGTACTGTTGCTATCGATACATCATCTGTTTGCTAAATCAACAACTTCAACAACTGCATTATTCGCTATACTTACTTCGAGATCAATTTCAATCCAATATCGCAATTTTTCACTTGTCACAACCGTTTTCATCAGAAAACAATAATAGGATAAGATGCAATCACCACTAACTTGGAAAAGTCCCTGTCAATTCATCAAGCAGACACCGAAAGTTATAACTGTTCAGTATCCATGCAAAAATGACTTCTGAACGAAATTTTGTAACCTGCACAGTAAGTGAAGACTAATAAACAATAAGAGAAGCAGACGAGCAACCTTAATGGCTCCAGCACTCGGCAGTGACAGAGAGATGAGCGATTGCGGAGGCGAGCTTAGCACTGAAGAACCGAAACGAGAAGTATAAAAAAATTCACGCATTATTGGACAAACCAGAACACGAGCCGGTAGATCTGGCAATGCCCTGTAACAATTAAAAGAATTTGTGAATGAGCAAAAATAACAATGAAAATCACTCGAAGATGATGGTTTCATTTTTTTGGCACAAATCAGTGAGTGGAATCTTAAAACGAATTACGTTCTCTCGCATCATCCAATGTTTCATTACGGTGAAAATGTTCACTCAATTGTCATTATGAAGAATTAAATTGCTTTGCGTGAAACATTGGTGGAGATAGCAAGAATCTGATTGTAGATTTAGATTCAGTAAGCCCAATCAAATAAGACACATCTTTCATATAGCAGTAACTAGGCATTCAAATTTGTTGGATAAAAAATAGCAATAATAAAAATAATTGTGAATGATGCATAATTTATTGCCTTATGTAGCTGATGATTGATCCCGGTTGAGCGCGATTCAAATATGGCAACAAACGAGGATTCTCTGTTTGAGCACCAGCCTCATTTGGAAAGTCATCCAACAACCTATTATGTAAATCGGCTATTTGATCGGCCGTTTTTACAACATAAGAGGTGCGCCTGTCACTCCATTCCACCTGAATAACAACATGTGGTAATTCGAAACGTAATACATTACTTCTGCATGAATTTATTCCGTCCTTAGATAGGTAGGGCAAGAGTTTATGAAATATATTGCTACTAAGGATAATCATCGTTCAGTTCAAAGCACACAGCAAAGAATTGCTCACTTCGATTGAATATACGTCTGGATCTGGTTCAGAAGACGTTGAAACAATATCGAGACGAGAAATAACGATTGGAATGTCATCTTGATTCAACGACGATGGAGGACATGCCTGAAAATGTAACATTGTGATTACTGATTGGTAGATGCAAGGAGGCAAAAACAAGACATAAAAAGGCCGAAGGGCAAATTATTGAGCCGAGATCGTACTTGCGTAATCAATGAAAAGTGAATTGTAGAGTGAAAGATTACGGGACTGCAGTGAACGCGGGACATGAAAGAATTTATGAAGTATATAAATGTAGGATCAGTTGAAATTTACGTAAATGGCATAGTGAAATCGACAAAAACGAACTTGGTTTTCGAGAAGAGAGCACGGAGGTAACCGAATAGCATCCAGATGATTGCGGATCATTTCCAGTTTCATTTTGTGTTCTATTGAGAAAGCTGGATGATACAACGAGGCAGAAACTGCCAATCGCAACTAAAAACAGAGCAATTCGTCAAATGTAATTAGCTTCGAATAAAAATGCAAAAATCCGTATGAAACCATTACATCTTCGATAATCAGAACCGTAACAGAGCGATTCTATGCATGCAAAATCCGTCAATTTCAATTAAATGATTCAAGTTTGCTCTCGTCGTAGTGTAACGACAAAATGTACATAAGACCACACCGACAAGAAAAGCAAAAAAATTACCGCATCCAAATCTCTCTCTTTTTCAACGAAACTCGATTCGACCGTTGCGATCTCAAATTCTGAATAGAGCCTCTCCAACAATCTGAAACAACAGTCACAAAGTTCGTATTGACTAGTTTAAACACTCATTCCGCCTGAGATGGTAATATAAAAATAAAGCGCATGCGACTTTCAAAGATGACTGATCATACACCCTTCGATTGCTTTCAGCGGAAGTGATAATAAATTTTTTTCGAAAATAAAAATCTCTCAAAGCATTTTTGAAAGTGATCTTTAGCAACAATAGGTGATAAAAATTTTGGGAAATATATGCATACAATATGATTTGAAATTTGGATGAACCTTCCCACAAAATTTTTTACCAATGAAAAAAATAAATAATCGAGAATAGAAAATTACCTTAAATATACGGCGGCAGCTTGACGATTAGTTGAATGAAGGAGACTGAGGATTGGAAAAGCATGTTCCAAAAGACGTCTATAAGTAGCTGTTTGCAGGAAATTTTGTATATACTGTGCATCGTTCCATCGAATTTCGTATTGGCGCAAATACGACGAATTGGAACGAATTGCTGCTTCAATGCAACAACCCAAATACCTGAACAATAAATCTTTCAATATCTCAAATATCAGCTGATGTTGTTGTAATGCAATGTTACTGGTGGCAATATTTGAATGACGAAAAATGCGCACGAATAAAAACCTTTAAAAACATGCACTTTGAAAAACATTTATGAAATCAAAGAAGAGCAAAAGATGACTTATGAAGTTTTTAGTCTTCAAACAATTTTTTCAGCTATGAGATATACAGATAAGTTTGAAGTATTGTCAGGATGAAGCCACGGAGGATAATCAACATTATTCTATGTATGACGCAAGAAATATTTGTAAAAAAGAATGATAAAACCTTTGCTCGTGCGCATTAAGACATTGCACTAGTTCACCAATAGCTTCTACTCGTTGCCATCTCTTCAGTTTGCACATACCCAATAAGAAATCCGTATTCACTGCTGAATCACCTGAATGATTCGATGTGATCAGGCAAAACAAAATCAGGATACATGAGGGAAAAAGAGCATTTTGTTTTCTGAAATCAATTTTGAATCCAGCCACCTGAATAGATTTATATTCAAGAATGCTACGTGAACACGAAACTGAAATTGCCGTCGAACGCATTTATTTCAAAGGAGTTGCGAACAGTCTCTTGAATTGCTCCCGAACAAACTATTTCAACAAAAGCTGAATACACCATCAATAACAACGATCATATAAGAACAGTAAATGCTCATACACTAGTAATCGACTTACTAGTCTGCGTGGCCACTGAACATCCAGCCATTTCATCGGTCATTGCAGCAAAGTCACGCTTCTCAACGAATCTTGAATCATCAGGATCGAAATCCATTCCCGAACCTGATAATGAACCATCTTCTTCAAGATCCGGTCCTGATACGACACTTCCTGCGGATGCCGATCCTGCTTCTTGACTACCACTTCTATGCTTGCAACTTCCATTCACTTTTGGCTGCAACGCAATAATTTTAAGACTCCAAGCATGTGGCTGTGTACAGTAAACATAATTCACTGTCAACGAGAAATAGAAAACAACTCGAAGGGCGAACAATGTTTAGATTCCCAATAAAACATAACTCTCTGGAGTAGAAAAAAGTACTGACTGAAACAAAACAAGGTGAATCGACTGAAAGGATAATCTCAAACTGGAAAACGATCATGTTGATATGTTTCACACCCTATCTTTGCAAACAAATGAACCCAAGAAAAATTACTGATAAGAAATTTTGCTTTGTATAAAACAAATAGTATGACAACATAAGTTATGACACCAGCTAATGTCTCCAATTGACTGGATTGATTGAAAGCATTAAGATATATTGTTACAAGCAGAAAACAAACCAAAACGTGATTATTAACAACTGCTGGATGGTGACTGCTTTTGTCCTTAATGTTTAAATGATGATTGTTGAACTGTTTCGTTGAACGTCGACGATACGTTATCGTGTTCGTGGAATTTTCGGAATCACTACCGGCCAAAGTACCGTTACGATGACATGCAGTAGTTCCATTTGCAGACCCTAGACTCCCACCTGTTGCATAGCCATCCCCTCCTCGACGAGGAGCGCTCGTCTCGTAGCAGCTACTAGTCATGCGATGCTGATGCTGGCTTGCAGTAATCGTCTGCGATGACTGCTCTTGTTCGTAAGTATGACCTGTATTATTCTAAAAAAAACAACCCCCACTGAGAAAATTTTCGTTGAAATGAACACTTCATGACGCTCAACTTTGAATAACAAACTTAGAAATATACGATTAAGAAAAATTCTCTGACTGCTTGATAAGATGCTCAACAGAGAAAAATTCACCACAACGAAGTGATTTCTCGTACTATTGCTCCGCTTCTTTCGACCAACCATTACTATCCTATAAATCCTGCAAAACAGTCCTTCTTTTGCAAGATACAACCTTTATCCCCGCAATATTCCGCAACACAACGCGATGGAATAATTACTTCACCGATCAGACGACTGACAATTAAAATGTTAATCGATTCTTTAGTGCGCTGTAAAAAATGACAGACTTGAATTTAATTAAGCTATTACTGCGGCCGACCGGTTGTCACCAGATGACCGACTGGTTAGCAGTTCAAACTGCTAAAAAAAATCAATCGAAACGATCAAACTCAGCGAAGTTCAATTTACTTTGAAACTGCCAAGAGGTTTAATTTTTGAATGTAATTTGTGCTTCATATCACATCAATCCACTCTGATACAATTGGACACCAGCAAAAAATTTCTAGATATCATCATTTCGGAACAGTGAGTACGCACATTGATGGTAGCACTCATTGCAGCTTGTTCGTATTCGATGAAGTTTAGTAATTTTGCGTTGCAGCATTATTGCACTAGTAGCAATCGTTCGTTCAGTTCATTATGACACACCAGTGAACGTACAATGTTTACTTGTACCCAACGAAACTTAAGTGAAACCGTAATCATGTCTATTTTATGGAAAATCATTTGGACACATTAAACATATTCAAGTATCTAACTTTCCGTAACAAAACTGCCATAAAAAGAAACGAATAAATGGTTAAATCAAATCCTTGCACGTAGATAACTGAACTTTGTATAAGTGAACTTTGTTCATTCATTAATTTTTTTTCTGTGATGAAAATTCGAAAGCAACAAAACAATTATTTTGGTTTGTTAAAAACGTTAAACAAATTCACACACAATAAACAAATATCTTCCTTCTCCACATACACCTCTTCGTAATAGCATCTAACGAGCACATTGCTCTAAAAATACTGCTCTTCCTATTACTATCAATCAATAGGCGCTAAGTTAATCGTACTGTTTTGCAACCGCCGTACATTCTGTTCACAACGCCGTCGCCTAGCAGCATTCATTTACTATTCGTGTTGTTTTTTGGAGCAAAGCGAATCAAGAAAGTATCAACTCATTAAAGATTACTTTAAATATTGTGACGGTGAAATGCGACTGCTGACAGCCCATTACACACGCACATATCCATCCATTCATCTTGCTTGCGCTAGTGTTTGTGGAACATGCGTTCGTTCTTGTAAATAACGTAGAAACGAAAACGACTCAATGAATGACGACTAGCAGGGTAATCCAAAGATGCGACAGAACGCTAACAATGAAGTGTGACACAAAAGAAAACTGTTTATACAAACAACACTTTTTATGTGATATCACTATCAAAAATAATACATCATCAATGTCAGCGACAACGAATGTAATTAAAACAGGTAGGATGCGACAAAACAACGTGAACACTCTAACGTTCAAAACTAAATCGTTCGTTGCATGTTTAAAGACCAGTTCGGTCATTACGAAAAATGAATGGAACATGTTTAATTCTGCTGTTCTGAAAAATCATACATAGAGAGGCAGCACATTCTTTTTAACAACTCAACTGACAATAATTATGGCTTCAGATACTGTAAAGTAACAACATTGAACGTATGGTCGTCAGCTTAATCACAATTACTTCATAGCAATTATACAAATTTGCCAAATGTGATATTACGCTGACGATCACCAAGATTCCTGATAAAATTTTCCCTATCAAAATTCATCACAATTATCTTCAACCAACCTTAATAATCATTCATAAATCAAATCCCAACCTGATATTATGAGCTAAGGCGAAGAATAACCCTAGATCGTTGAAAGAAGATGAGGTAAAAACAAGCAAGACATGAACAATAAATGGTTATTTTTAGCATGAATTAAGAAATCTCAACAAAACAGTTTCAACAAGAACAAACCAAAGACATATTACACGTAGCAAAGAAAAGATAAGATAAAAAACTGTCAGAAGGTGTCTAAAACCCAATAAATCCTTTGATTAAACAATACCAAACAGTCATCGGAGATCAAGTTCATAGATCATAATTTGCTACTATCGTCCTCAACTACCACAAACATATAAGCACTAGCAACTGAGATGCACAGAGTCAGTTCAAGAATTCACGATCTAGCTGAAGCATTGATAAGTTACGAAGTTATACTTAATATCGCCTTCAACCGCATTGCATTCATCCTTCCCATTTTCAATTTTTGCGAATTTTGTCATGTCCATTCTCGGAAAATACACATCTGCGTGAAAATCACCATCAACGTATGTAAAAGCTAACTGAAATCGATTATGTTGTAATACTCAAAAGCCCAGAACTTTCTGAGTCATGAAAATGAAAAGTTATATGCCACAGAAATTCATCTGCAATATGCGATTACATTGTATTCAAACCTGATTGAGCTGTGGTGATCTTAAGCCATCTTCGTAAACACGACGACCGCCAATATTCCAAATCGTTTCTATCTTGTCTTTCATTTCATCCAACAAGTCCAATGCAACTTCGAAACTGCGTGCCACAACATAACTTCCGTCTTCTGGTTCAGGCATCTGAAACACAACACTTGTTCGGCACTTCAATTCATCGTTACCTGAACATTCAGAAAATGAGAAAAAAGTAAACAGAATATTTTTGAGATCGGCAAGGGAACACTTTCAACGATGAATGGCCGGTTCACGCCCAAATGATCTGAGGATCAACATAACAAGAGTAATAATATTGATCTTCCGAGAACAAATACCACTTTTCACATGGTGAGTGTTAGGAAAGTTGCGTGGATTGTATTCAAGATGAAAAGCTCGGCGCAAAATAACTGAATGAATTATGAGTGAAATAATGAATTTATGAGGCTCACCGTAGTACTCAGAACAACGTTGAGACGATTCTTGAGGGGTCTATTAGTCTCAGGAATACTTTCCCAAACCTTACGTCCCATGAGAACTGCATTCTTTTTGTTCTTGTCTATCGTCTCAGTGGTTAATCGACAAAAACGCTTCATATCAACAGGAAGACGCCATGGAATTTTTCCGTTCTTACCGATGCCCATTTTATTATCCACTGCGACAATTATATTCATGGGCAGTTTAGTGTTTACTGGACTCATCATACCAAGTTATTGCTCAACTGAGATAACTATGAGCAGAATTCACGGAAAACTTATTGGATGCTGAACTTGGTGCATCGAGTTCTGATCCTACTAAAACGATGGTATGAAAGAAAGCCCATCCGCTCGCACAACTATCACGCACCATTACATATATATTCAGCAAACCATTCGTACACATTTTTTATTATTGTTAATGTCAGCTCACATATTCCACAAAGGAGCAACTACATAAATACTATATGTTCTCATTCAGGATAAACCACTGAGAGGTGCACCATTCTTCTTCGTACAAGAGAAAGGAAAACGAGACATGTATTCTTTTTTTTGTATACAAATTTCAACATGAGCAACACGAAAAAATCAGCGATAATTCATCATTAAGATTATTGACCGTTACATTTTGAAAACTGTTATTAGTTCACAAAACAAGGAACCATACTCGTATAACTTAATACGAAGTGAACAACATTTACCGATCAAATAAAGGCGGTTGCAAATTGCGGTCAACACCACAGAAAAATATAGCGTCCATTTCGCAATGTTTTTGAACAAGCGCGAAATGAGGTAACCAATGAGAATCAAAAATGAGACACCGCCTATGCTTATGCCTCAGTCTTATTTCCTTTAGAGGGGTTGAACTGCACTCGAATGAATCAAGGTAAGACAGTTTTAGCACAGTGCCAGACAGTCACAGAAATCAGCGATAATTTCATGTGCGAATGACGTTTACAGCTTCTCGTTTGGTGTAAAACTGTTGCATTTCATAAGGCACTGACTCACGAGTCAGTGCAATTCGGCAAAAATAGTTTATTCAGATCGTTTTATTAGCCGTAATTTCAGCGAATGGTGAAACTCTTCAGCATAATGAAAAAAAAGCCCCAATTTAAAACTCGAACTGACTAATGTACGAAATGTGCAGGTTAACAGACTTACACGGTTGCACTTCAGCCCCTTCCTCTCTGATTAAGCTTAGATTTTGACGTATACATACACACTCACAGGATCCGTATTTCCAGGTTTACGTTTCCGATTGAGTTTACGACAGAGCCAAATTGCATAAGCAAAAATTTTCACACCAAGAAAGTGGTGCTGCACGAACTTCATGGTATGCTGATAGTTCATCAAGTGCGAACGGAGTGACACTTAAGGCAACTCGCCATTTTCGCGGAAACGAAGCCGGGCAATTTCTACATCATTTTGTAGCGATATGGCGATATGGCGGGATAAAGGTTTTCGGCTTATTGAAATAATGTTCTGAATTTCCACCAGGCGTTGGCGGCTTGGCCCGACGGGTAGGACGCTAGATTAAAGAGTGAACACCCAGTGGTTCGGTTCTGCGTGCTTGGGGAATTAGCTTTCTCATACACCTGTAGTGCATTGAAGCAAGCTTGATGTTTTGCTGCCATCCCCACAAATTCTATCTTTGTACGTGGGGACATTTAAATTTTTTTTAAGTTTTGGCTTTTTTTGTTGTTTATATCTGATCATAATGAACTTGTCTATTCACAATAAAATTATCAAAGCATAAATATAGTTTACAATAAGAACACTTCACAAAAGATAGCTGATCACGATCGTTGATATCACAGTCTTGAACTACACGGTGTGGGAAGCCCATCTGAACTGGAGTTTCGAATTCATCCGGATGTATCCACATGCATGCCGGGAATAATTAATAAAGTCCCGAAATGTCGGGTTGCTAAACTGGTTGAAAACCATAGACATAATAGACAGATAGAATGATGACATAAGAGTGTATCTTACAGATGAAGTTTTTAAATATCCAAAAAAAAAATCGATCAAGAGATTGAATTTGTGAAGTAGCACGAGAGGGTCCAATAGAATTTGTGGGGAGGGCAGCAAAATGTCACGCTTGCTTCAATGTGCTGCAGATGTATGAGAGAACAAATTCTGCAAGCACGCGGAACCGAACCATTGAGTGTTCACTCTCGAGTCTAGCGCACCACCCGCCATGCCAAGCCGCCGACGACTAATAGAAATTCAGAAAGTTACTTCCATAAACCGAAAACCTTTTTCCCACCATATCTCGCGTCTCCTTTGTGTTAAGCAAAAATTATTTCCATAACCATGATCAGCTTAACGAGCCCTACAATATGATGTATGTCTCATCCCGAAAGATGGGGTAAGTTCGTGACCTTTCCTTATATACTGTATGAAAGTATAGGTGGATGATTATAGGTGAGATATAATAAAGGGATAGGTCTTGCTAGTAAGGAAAGTAGAAAAGATCATCTGGGCCCAATGTTTCAGTCCAGTTATGCTGAAGTATGCTAATCTTTGGCAGGTGTAAGTGCTATCTTGTTAATGCATCAACATCGCTACATTGGGTATAGAACATTAATAACGTGTGAAAATGACTTGTCAATGAGAAGTGTGTTAAGTATGAGAAGTGTTATCGAACTGGGTTGGATGAAAACTGCGATGTGGTCATTTAATGTTGTTTCAGACGTGCACTGTTATAAAGGTGAGCGAGTGAACAAATTACGGTAGTTTTAGCGGTTTTTCAGCGGTCATTCCAGTGGATACTGATCATCCTTCTGAGGAATTGGATCACTGGCAATTGGATTTGATTATCACCTTGAATCATTGGGAATTGATGGTGATGACTGAATTTGGTACTTGGTGGTTCAAATGGTGTATCGCATGATTTCCCAATGGTAGATATGTTGGTGCAGTCTAGCAAACATTTGCATTATAGAAATCGTAATACTGATGGTATCTTTGGTAATATAGCAGTGTGTTATAGTTATATAACCAACAAACACGACACCAAGGCGTGAGGAAGCACCAGTTTGGGAGTTTCAACTTCATTTCTTTGTTTATTTTCTTTGTCATTAAGACTCGAATAAAGGATAAGTAATGCAGCCACATTTTTCGCTATTTATTTTCATTTCTTTTTGAACTTATTAACTGGGAAATAAAGTTCAGTCGTGGTCAGTGGGCACATTTTCTATATGTTTCATTCTTTTATTTATCTGTTTATCCGTAAATGTTGTAAAATGTATGTTTGTATGTGTTGCTCATTATTTATCAGTCATGATTTGTTTATATTAAACTCATGATGGGTATATGACAATGCGGGTACAGGTATTGCCGTGCATTCTGCGATGATATGAAAATTACCATTATTTGTCGAAAAATATCTCACAGTTTTAGAGTTGATTATTGCATCTCGTATTTTTTTAACTAGAGGATTTTTCAGTGTTTTTGATTAAGATGTTTATGTTATCAACGCTATATTAACATTATTATTCTGAGTTTTTGTTATTATTGTTCAATGTACCGTATTTCTGCCACTGTGTTGTCACATACTGAGAAGTTTAGCGGGCTTCATGATCACTATTTATCAACCATATTCTACAGTATCCACAAATTTCTGTTACCCTTTTGGAGGAACTTTGGATGAGACTGTGGTTCCCTAACGCATACATTTAGATGATATTCAAATTTGTAACCTATAAACCCTTGATTCAATCCACCCTGAAGTGAAAAAATCTCGTCTGAAACAATGCCATACGAAAAAATGAAAATTTGATGAAATCTGAATGGGCTCTGTGATATTAATTTGAATAAATTGAAGTAAATTTGAATAAATAAGTTTGAATAAATAAAGTATGAATTTGTATAAAATATTTATATAAATACTCGTGATTTTGGACATTTTGTGTGTGTTTATTTTGGCTGGAATAAAACGGTTTTTTTGGGAGTTGTTGTTTAAAATTGGAATGGAATTCTATACGATTAGTATAGAATACGACAGGCTCCTTTTGGTTCTCATTTGTTATTTCATATTGTAATTTAATTGATTTGCATACATTATATTGCTAGCAATTATCAGCAATGTTTTCATTATTATTATTGTTAGCGATTATTATTATTGTTTTATTGTTATTATTGTTACTGAGACATCGAGTGATTGTTTTGTCAATCGCTGTGAGCGATCGGCAGAATATTTATTGTATTAGATTTATGATTACTTATTGGATTGATATTTGGCTACGATTAATTATGCAAAGTATTCATGGCAACTAATTAATTACTCAGTCGTGTTCACTTGGCCTACTCGCCTAACCAGCGGGGTGGCGTAGATTGAGGCTAAAACAATGTGCACGGAAACGCGAGCATTGTGGCCAGCAACGTTACAAGCGTTTGATAGCCTGGCCGATTCAGGTAATCTAGGTTTTCATTATGTATTTACCTATTCATTTGTACATTAATCATTGTTGTCAGTATTGTGAATCATTTTTTAATTGATATGTGTAGGGGGAAGGAAAGACGCGGTACACAATGATCCGTTTGCCTCCGGAATGAGAGTTAGGGGTTTGGACTGAATTCAGAGAAACGTCCCACCCAATTCGTTTTTATTTTTCAATTCGGGCACCTCTTCATTCCCTTGACACGGACTGTCTTACGTGAATTTATGTTGGACATTCACATAGATACGAAGCTAAGTGTTATTTGACTTAGGTTTCACTCAATACGATTTAACATAGCCCTCATTGACTTAAAACCGACCTGACATTGACTCTTTTAAGAGTTGACTAGGATAAAGACTTCACATGACATAACTCGAATTATACCACGAGTAAATTTGAGTTGACGTGAGTTTACTGGATTTGGCACCGTTTGACTATGACTGGCCTCGATTTGAACCCGAGCTTGATTTTTAAATCCATTCAACTTGAACTTGACATGAATTGACTAGACTTTGACCTCATCCATCCAAACTTTGTTTTAATCACATTGCGAGCCGACTTGGCTGTGGGCTAACATACTACTACTTCACTTGGCTGGTTCCTAACTTTGATGTAAGCTAACGTAGAAATGATCCAACTTGGCACGAATTTGGGATCTGATACGCTCATCGTCAGTAATTACCCTACGTGATGTATTTAACAACTATCTAGATTTTTAATCGCAAAACATTCTGTTGCGCACGCATACAGATAAGCATTCGCGATGTTCCAAGATAATTACCT